GCGGTCAAGCGGCGTGGCCGTCATCGACGACAGCGCTGTCGTCGCGTCGGTTGGAACATCTGATTCCCAAAGGCGCACTGACTCTGACTGAGTGCACCTTGAGCCAATACACACCCACCAACATCACTTGATCGACTTGGGACTCACACTTCTACTTGCACAATGTTGTCCGCCCTCTCCAACGCTGCTCTGAGCGCTGTGAGTATGCCAGATTCTCTCCGCGCATAGGCGACCAAGAGGCGTCGAGATTCGAAGAGGTGCTCGGGACGAGCCAAGTCTTCGACGGTACAAATGCTGATACGTTCATCAAATTGTCTTCTTCAGACCCGCTCTAGAGCTCCCATGGCTGCTCGCTCCCTCAGCAGCTCTGCCATTGCCAGCAAGGGTACGTCTCGTCTCTTCTCATCTCAACTCAATGCACCCGTTTGCGCGTTTCGGATTGTCATCTGACGTGCAATGCCCTTTCTCGATGCTTTGCGCGCTTTGCTGGCGCATCAGACTTTGTGCAGGAGATCTACATCAAGGAGCTAAAGGCTTACAAGGCACCTGCCAAGGTGAGCATCGCAGAGGAGACGCGGAGGTCGCAATTCTGTGCTGCTCGGTCCTGGGCTCAGAGCCTAGAATGCCGAGGATTGCGGGGCAGGGATGGTGGCACGCGTGGTTTGATTGGTGGAGTAGGATGGAAAGGAAGGCAGGGCAAGAAGCCAAGGATTACAGCAGCCTTGCATTGGACGGCTTGACGTTTTTCCGGCGATCCATACAGATTGAAGGGAAGAGCTTGGCTTGGGACTTGGGTGCAGAGGTTGGTACTGTACGGCCACCTTTTGCAGCGCGCAATGCTCAGCTCTTCCTTGCGATCTCAAAGAACCGGCGATCAAGCACTGACTCCCACACTCCTCTCCTGCACAGTCTGCCGATGCTCACAAGGGTCAAGTGCGAGACTTTCACGCTCCCAAAGCGCCACAAGCTCCCAGCGTCAGCACCTCTGACATTTCCTCCGAGTTGGACGCCTACTCCAAATCCGAGCCCGACGTGGCCGAAGCTTCTGCTTCCTCCTCCTCCTCTGGCAGCTTGCTCGAGAGCCACGAGGACGTGAATGCGTGGCTCGAGGAGGCCAAGAAGCCCGTCGTCAAGGAACACCACTAAAGAGAGTCGAGCGCTACTACAGTGAATCGCAACCGCTCTTGTTTCGTCGGACTCGGTGCCGAGCAGTAATGTCATAGGATCCGGCTTTTAGAAAGGCGTATCTGTCTGCGTAGCCTTTCGAGAGCGTTCGCGTTACGCCCAATCAGCCTGGAAAGGTGGAGTTGCGGTACAACGCAGCACCGCCATGCGATGAGTTTCGGGGTTATGGAAGTGCGTTCTCGATATCAGAAAGAAGTGCATTCTCGATCTCTCAGCGCGGGTCAGGGTTGTGGCAAAGAAAACAGGTGACGGCCGATACTGATATAGCAAGTGTAGAGAGACGAGGGGAAGGTAGGGAGGGTAATTCGCGAGCAAAGAATAGAAGCGAAGAAGCTCCGGTGCGCATTGAGATGGAGATGATGAGATCGACGAGCCGCTTTGTGCACGATGCCTGTGCGAAGGGCAAGTGGAGGGGGGTTGCATTTGTGACAACGCCAACGACGTAGCGCTCATCGTGGACTACCTTGTGCTGGGTTGGCAGACGCTGCGCGGCTATGAGCTTGCCTGAAAGGGTTGTTAGGGTTGAGTGGTCTTGATGGTGATCCATGCACGGGAGTACTGCCAGCACTGTTTGCGCCATAAGAGCCCGGCTGTGAGCCAGGGGCGGAGATGGCGGATGAATTGCGCGAATGCGCAGCATTGCGAGCAGCAGCTGCCATTGGTGCTGCTCGCTGCAGACTACCTTCAGCATGTGTGTGCGTGACGACACCGCTCAAAGGAGCTGTAG